TTGTCGTATGGGGTGGTCAAGCTCGCTGACTTGGTTGACACATGTCATCGTATCCCAATTGCGTAGATCGATGCTCATGCTGTTGATCATTGGATTGTCTGGTCCAGACTCGAGAGTCACTGCCACTGGTTCACGTTACCATTTCATACAGTTTGACAAAATACAAACATGACCTCAACAGCGGAGCAGTGTCCCTTTAAAACGATCATTTTTTCTCAGTTGCTTCTTGCGTCATTTTTTAAGTTCTGAAAGTTAGATAACCATCATGTGATATTTGAATGTACGTGTTATATTTGAATGCACATTACCAACACAATGATAACATTCCAAATGAGCGTTTCTTTGTCGTTGTTTCTTTTGTTGAAATCTGAACATTTAAACAACGAACGACTTTTGACACGACCCCCGTCAAAGATCGCAATAGGCCTATTACGCGTGGAGTAAATTAAAGAGAAAGGTCGCGCTAAATGGGTATGAACTTCAAAGACGCGAGCGAGACCTATGATCTATTAACACCTCCTTGCCACGCCCTGAGCGCCCCCTAGGAGTCGGTGCACGCCCCCTACCGGCCTGTATTATCAGCTTCGGTTTGCTATGAAGATGTAAGAACTGTGATTAGTTTTCCAGCAAACAGTGTTATCATTTACAAATGGGTTTCATGGGTGGCGCTATTGTAGCACGTCGCAAGCATTCGCCTAATAATGATGCTATTGGCAACACAACTAGTGCGACATGGTGGATGTCAAAACCGCCTGGTAACCCGACTAATTTACAAGTCCATCTCGAAGAAAAAATCATAAGTTTTTAAGTAGAAGGTAATTATGTAAATTGAAGAAATAAGGAAGAACCAACATCATATCTACTTTGGTTAGAATCCTTTTTGTTGTAAAAATATGGGTCATGGTATGACTTAGTGCATGGAAGAGTTCATTTTTAGCAGAGGGTAGACTACTGAGAACAAAAGACACATTACCAATTCCTATTTGTTCAGCAACCATGCTTGTCCTGAGAAGCAACTAACGGGATCGCGTGGTCAGGAAGGCGGACTTGGTTGATGCATCGTATCCTAATTGCGTTGATCGGTGCTCATGACGTCAACCACTGGTTCTTAAAACATGCGACCGCCTCCATGGTGTAGTGGTTAGAGCGTCCGCCCGGAGAGCCGAAGGTAGCGCCTTCGATCCCCGACCGCGTCATACCAAAAGACGTTAAAATATGGTACTCGTTGGTCCCTGTCTGGCGCTCGGCATTAATGGGTACAACAAGGACTGGTCGGCCCGGAGTCAGTATAATGTGTCTGAGTGGGGTATTCATGCTTCACTGCGGCATGGTATCTCAGTGGGCTAGTACTATAAAACCAGCTTCAGTCTGGGCTAGTACAAGCAGCCGCACATACACATACACACGCATGCACGTCGTCATATGAGCGAAATATTCTCAAGCACGACGTAAAACCCAATTTCACCTCACCTCACCTCTTAATGCAGGCTCAATTATTTACAGATTCGGATGTTTTCATCTAGTTGGAATATTTCCGAAAGCGGATCAAAAAAGCCCAAAGCTCCCATAATAGCAGCTTTTTACCTGTAAATGGGATGGTCAGTTTAACGCCATAATCAGAAAGCCACTGCGTCTGGCCAGGAAGGGTCAAGTAGCATGTCATGGTCGCCAGTAGATCACGTCAAACCAACCCTTAGCCCTCAGTCCGAAAGTTCACCTTACTTGACGTGTCGTATTCCTTTCCCAATGAAACACAAGTTACCTCCCCCTGACAAGTGACCTTTGACACCATGGGTTGTCAACCAATGACGGCAAGACTTAACACCTTCTAGTATAACCTGTGAGTCGGTTAACGCTAGGTCGATTTACAAAAAGGTAGATCTGAAAGATAATCATTTTTCGGGATGGCCAGATTGGTTTTGATCTTATCTTTTACAAGCATATAATCATTTCACCTTTCGCGTTTGATGCTGATCTTGAGAGAGCATTATTTGTCAGATCGTCAATCCAACGTTGACTGACGTACACGTCCCAGTAAAGTCTGTCCTACAGACCCTGAAACAAATATACTGAGAGAAACAAATAAAGGATCACAGGAAAAAAGCTGGTGATGAAAACTGGAAAATATTAAACGAACGCTTGAATTTTCCTGTCATCCTTTATTTGTTTCTCACAGTATATGTCCAGTATAGCCCAAGGATGTCTAAAATAGTTACTGCTTTGAGGGGGCGGAGGGGTAGCCTAGTGGTTAAAGCATGCGCTCGTCACGCCGAAGACCCGGGTTCGATTCCCCACATGGATACAATGTGTGAAGCCGATTTCAGGTGCCCCCGCTTCGGTATTGCTGGAATATTGCTAAAAGAGGCGTAAAACTAAACTCACTCACTCACTACTGCTTTGAGAGAGTTTGGGGATCCTTTACGTGTTATTGAATAATTTAACTTTCTTCTCTTGAACGTTTTCTTTTCATTCTTTTAATTGTTAATCTACTTCCGGTAGAAGGTAGGTGATTTTTAACAAAATCATTTCAGATGGAATATAGTTTTGTTTATGATGTGTTTAGTGCTGAAAAACAGTAATTATATAAAAAGAGAATTGATATTTCACAAAATAACAATATGCCGTAACTTTCATCCTGCCTCGTTTACAATATGAGTGAGTATGGTTTTACTAATACGCTAGTTAAGGCATATTAAACACCAGACATGGGCTTGACACCGTATACCCATGTGGGGAATCGAACCCTGGTATATGGCGTTACGAACCAACGCTTTAACCACTAGGCTACCCCACCACCAAATATTTATACAAGGTTTTAGGGGTAAGATTGTGAAAATCAGTACGAAAATACTTAATCAATAGTACAGATATTGTTTCACAAATATCATATTGATCACTTGATGAGTGTTGCTGGTGTGTGATCTTCATCAGATTGTGTTCTGTGGTACCAATCTTGTTATCCAGATTGTTCAGAAACGTCATCTGTACGATAACAACCTTGTTATCCAGATTGCTCAGATACGTCATCAGTACGATAACAACCTTGTTATCCAGATGGTTCAGAAACGTCATCTGTACGATAACAACCTTGTTATCCAGATGGTTCAGAAACGTCATCTTACGATAACAACCTTGTTATCCAGATGGTTCAGAAACGTCATCAGTACGATAACAACCTTGTTATCAAGATGGTTCAGAAACGTCATCAGTACGATAACAACCTTGTTATCCAGATGGCTCAGAAACGGTTCAGAAACCAGATGGCTCAGATACGTCATCAGTACGATAACAACCTTGTTATCCAGATTCAGAAACGTCATCTGTACGATAACAACCTTGTTAACCAGATGGCTCAGATACGTCATCAGTACGATAACAAACAACAACCTTGTTATCCAGATTGCTCAGAAACGTCATCTGTACGATAACAACCTTGTTTCCAGATTGCTCAGAAAGATGGTTTCAGAGCTCAGATACGTCATCTTACGATAACAACCTTGTTATCAAGATGGTTCAGAAACGTCATCACGTACGATAACAACCTTGTTATCAAGATGGTTCAGAAACGTCATCAGTACGATAACAACCTTGTTATCCAGATGGTTCAGAACGTCATCAGTACGATAACAACCTTGTTATCCAGATGGTTCAGAACGTCATCAACCTTGTTACGATAACAACCTTGTTCAGAAACGTCATCTGTACGATAACAACCTTGTTATCCAGATTGATCAGATACGTCATCTGTACGATAACAAGATCATCTGTACGTCATATGTACGATAACAACCTTGTTATCAGATTGTTCAGAAACGTCATACGGTTCAGATGGTTCAGAAACGTCATCTGTACGATAACAACCTTGTTATCCAGATGGTTCAGAAACGTCATCAGTACGATAACAACCTTGTTAACCAGATGGCTCAGAAACGTCATCAGTACGATAACAACCTTGTTATCCAGATTGCTCAGAAACGTCATCTGTACGATAACAACCTTGTTATCCAGATTGCTCAGATACGTCATCAGTACGATAACAACCTTGTTATCCAGATTGTTCAGAAACGTCATCTGTACGATAACAACCTTGTTATCCAGATGGTTCAGAAACGTCATCTTACGATAACAACCTTGTTATCCAGATGGTTCAGAAACGTCATCTTACGGTAACAACCTTGTTATCCAGATTGTTCAGGAACGTCATCTGTACAGACAGAAACATCACCTGTACGGTCCGAAACGTCATATGAACGGTTATAAACCTTGTTATCCAAATTTCAGTCGATACCTTTGCTTCTGGCAGAACAACTCACCAGCTTCACCCACCACCTCCCCAAATAGGAAATACAATAGTCATGAATATAAAATAATAAATGAAAGCATAATTACAAAAATATAAATCAGCATATTTTTAATAATAGAGACACGTCTGGAAATTCGTAATTTAGCTAACCGTGACCTACTCAATAAAAAAAGGTATGGAAGCCCAGTAGTTAATATCACCGTGGGGGAGCACGCCGTTCATCTGTGAAGATCTCTGTGGTCGTGTCAGCAGTCGTTGGCGGGGGTGATCCTGCCGTCAACAAGTAACGCCTTGTTTTCTATCTACTGATCAGATAGGAATGGCATTGTCATGCCTCTTCAGCAATCGGTCACGACTATCAATTTGTTTAAATATGATATGACGAAGGGGTCCTTCAAATATTGCCGATAAAATTTAAGAATCAGATTAAAGAGTTAGCATGTTAAAATAAAATGCCCTACATTATCTATACGGGAATGAATAAGGGATATCCGAGATAACGTAACATATCTACCTCTTTAGACCGTAACATTGGCTTTTGAACAGCTTGAGGTTTGTAATATTCCTGTAAGAGGACCCAGTTCATATGATTATTGTAAAGCACCAATAATCCAAGATGGCCGCCTCTCCTACTCCAGCCGTTCCTCTCATTTCAAGACAAAGTGTCGGTTTAAAGATCTGAGATCAATCCAATGCGCTACTGGTAGCTCAGTTTCTTGTATTTGTGTAGAAAGGGGTTAGAGGAGATCCGGGGCGAGATGCGGCCCCTGATATGTAATTTGGGAGTGGGGAAGGGGGTCGTCTGACTCGGGAACCTATTCAATGTCAGGCCATGGTATGCAAGAGCGACTGGCGGGCCAAGAGGTGGCCATATTTTACCTGGAGGCAAAAAATACCTGAGACAACATTGTGTTTGGACCCGCGAAATCACGCGTGCGACCCTTAGCCGAAACTATAGGTATGTTGTTTAGGGCAGACGGTGGGGAGCGTGTAGGTGAGGGCGACGTATATCGCCCGTGCAGCAGCGGAAACCGGGTTGATTTGTAGGGAGGGAGCGGGTGCAGTGTGATGTGGGGCAGTTTGACCGCGGTTTAGCTTGGTGTTAGGATTGACATTATCATTCAATTGCGTGTAGATACATGTGAGTGTTTCTGTATTTCGCCATGAAGATCTTGTGTTTTTAACAAAGGTATTCTATACAGTGCACACAGCATTGAGGGAAACGATATATGATACGGCGCTTTATTTTCACAGACCTCTATAATACGATACTTTATATAAACTGGAGGATCCTTGTTTAAACTGGGTAGCCGTCACCACAAAGGTACAATGTATGAAGCCTGTTTCTGCTGTTCCAGTCAGCCAGTCAGTCACACGTTTACAGGACCAGTCACACATGCACTCAGTCAGCTACTCACTCACTCACACAGTCAGCTCACAAATTCACTCACTCATTCACGAAACAATCACACAGTCACACATTGAATCACTACGTCACAAATTCACTCACTCATTCACGAAACAATCACACAGTCACACATTGAATCACAACGTCACAAATTCACTCACTCATTCACGAAACAATCACACAGTCACACATTGAATCACTCAGTCACTACGTCACTCCGTCACAAATTCACTCACTCACTCACTCAGTCATTAAACATCCACACAGTCAGACATTGAATCACTCTGTCACTACATCACAAATTCACTCACTCATTCACTAAACAACCACACAGTCACACAAATCCCGTCATACCAGCGTTATTTCCGAGTAAAAACCACATCAACTCACTCCTACCACTGGGTGCTGTGTCACATGTACTCCCTTTCTCTACGACTGGATCAGTAGGTACTCCTCACTGTGGATCTAGCCCCACACTGCCTTACAGCCGAGTACCCACAACAGTCTCTTCAGCTTTGATACAGAACTGCATGCATGATATCACCTGACATCTCCCTCCATACCTCAAGTTGTGTGTTTCCCTGTCTGTAGTGGCGGCCCTAACCTCAATACATAACTCCTTGGGACATCGCTACAACCGCTCATACTCCAATCTACGTACTCTACACAACTCGTCGTACGCTTCATGTTCTCTTCTACACTACGCATACGCACTTTGTATAAGCCTCTCCATCTACGTACACTACACAACCAGTCGTACGCATCTACGTACACTCACAACCAGTCGTACCATATTCTTCATCCACGTACACTTCGCTACGCATATATCTTCGTACGCTACGCATATACTTTGTATACCTCTTCATCTACGTACACTACACAACCAGTCGTACGCTCCATATTATCTTCGTACGCTACGCATATACTTTGTATACCTCTTCATCCACGTACACTACACAACCAGTCGTACGCTCCATATTATCTTCGTACGCTACGCATATACTTTGTATACCTCTTCATCTACGTACACTACACAACCAGCTCCGTGCGCTCCATATTCTCTTCATACACTACGCATACACTTTGTGCATCACTTTTCATATACTGCACACTATTCTTCGCACAAGACGTATACTCTTCGTAATCCACTTTGTGTACACATGTATGCTTTGTGTGCAACACATACGCTTCGTTCAGCACTCCTTATATACTGCTTAACACTCTTCGTGCACCACCCTTCGTATAGTACATCTATAATTGCATATTGCGTATGCATGTCATACACCACCTCGTATACAATACTCATACTCTGCGACCGCCTCCGTGGTGTAGTGTTTAGAGCGTCCGCCCGGAGAGTGGAAGGTCGCGGGTTCGATCCCCGACCGCGTCATACCAAAAGACGTTAAAATATGGTACTTGTTGGTCCCTGCCTGGGTCTCGGCATTAATGGGAACAACAAGGACTGGTCGGCTCGGAGTCAGTATAATGTGTCTGGGTGGGGTATTCATGCTTCACTGCGGGATGGTATCTCAGTGAGCTAGCACTATAAAACCAGCTTCAGTCTGGGCTAGTACAAGCAGCCGCACATACGCATGCACGTCGTCATATGAGCGAAATATTCTCAAGCACAACGGAAAACCCAATTTCACCTCACCTCACCTCACCTCACCTCACCTCACCTCACCTCACCTCATATAATCAACATACTCTTTGTACACTATACACATTCTTCGTACACAACATGTACGCTCTTCGTACACTATACGTGCTCTTCGTAAACTACATTAGTCTTCGTACAGTGTATACACATTCTTCGTACACTCTGTACACTCTCCATACATTGTACATCCTCTTTACATACCCATCTTCGAACTTAAGGTAATAAAAATTATACAATTTGATATCGAGCAACATTTATGTAACGACTTCCGCTAGATTGTTTTGCGTAATTTGATCGTCACGTGAACAAGTAAAACGGTCAAATACAGACTGAATGCTACACGAAATGCTAACCGAAGTCAAGGGATTGTGTTGTTAACGTACATATCATCATAACAGGTATCCTCCCTATATATCGGTTTTAGATGTGTTGATCTGACCACATTTAACCCCTACATCTACTCAAACAGATCTGTCACCTTTCCCTGAATCTACCCCGTTATTCCCGGGTGTGTGACAGACACATACCCCCCTGTTGCGACACAGACACCCGTAGACTTATCAGTCTCACGACAAGCTTCAGTGAGGGACGAGGGCGGTAATTCTAAAGATGGGTCTCCTTATTCCTCCGTAACATGCAATGTCGCGAACCTACCCGGCCGGAATTGGGGGAGAATTAGCTTGGGTATTCCGTGTGTTATGAGAACGCGGGTATGTGGTAAGTAAGCCCCCTCTTTAACACTTCATTAGCCCTCATAATACTTCGCTGAAGGCGTATTGTAAACCCCTTCATTTTACACCGAATCCGAATTCCGCTTCAGCAACCAATTCCTAATTTTATAACCCCATTCCAAGGAATTGGTGGGTTGAGTTACATGCGTCGCGTTTCGGCATTTGGGGGAGCTGTGACCGAACACACAGCGACTTACATCGAATTAAAAGCACATAAGATTCAGCTGATTTTCGGTTTCGAGTTTCTTAGGACAAACACGGGGAAATATCTATGTATTATGGCATTATTGTCTGACGAGTAACGGTACTTTAAAGCGTAAATTCAGCGAACTATGCAACATAATTGTGTCAGCGTCTGATTTACGACGAATTTCTAGATGTTCAGATTCTGAGACAATGGACCGTATTCGCATGATCTTGTCACCCCGGATGCATTAGGTGACCGGAATTGAATCTATTCCTGTCGGCATGCTTCCGGTTCCGGTTTAACATCTAAGGATTTGCTTGCAGCCATGCACAATCTTGAACTCATTTATTTTGCATTAGCTATTTTCCTTTCTGAAATACAATGGTCTTTCTATCAATGAAAGAATTTTCTTTTAAATTCAGATTTATGAAATCGTAGTGCTTGTCAATCTTCATTTCCTGAACAGCATTGTGTTTCTCATCACACCAAATATATACCTGTTATCCTTTGTTTGGTGGTGTGGTTAAGGCAGTCTGCCATCACACCAAATATACCTGTTATCCTTTGTTTGGTGGTATGGTTAAGGCAGTCTCCCATCACGCCAAATATACCTGTTATCCTTTGTTTGGTGGTGTGGTTAAGGCAGTCTGCCATCACACCAAATATACCTGTTATCCTTTGTTTGGTGGTATGGTTAAGGCAGTCTGCCATCACACCAAATATACCTGTTATCCTTTGTTTGGTGGTATGGTTAAGGCAGTCTGCCATCACACCAAATATACCTGTTATCCTTTGTTTGGTGGTATGGTTAAGGCAGTCTGCCATCACGCCAAATATACCTGTTATCCTTTGTTTGGTGGTATGGTTAAGGCAGTCTGCCATCACGCCAAATATACCTGTTATCCTTTGTTTGGTGGTATGGTTAAGGCAGTCTGCCATGGTTATGGTATGGTTAAGGCAGTCTGCCATCACGCCAAATATACCTGTTATCCTTTGTTTGGTGGTATGGTTAAGGCAGTCTGCCATCACGCCAAATATACCTGTTATCCTTTGTTGGTGGTATGGTTAAGGCAGTCTCTCATCACACCAAAGATACCTGTTATCCTTTGTTTGGTGGTATGGTTAAGGCAGTCTCCCATCACGCCAAATATACCTGTTATCCTTTGTTTGTGGTATGGTTAAGGCAGTCTCTCATCACGCCAAATATACGTGGTATCCTTTGTTTGGTGATTGGATAGCTTTGTGGTTAAGGCGGTCGCTCATCACGATACATACTTTGGTCGATTCCCATGTGGGTATACTGCGCGAGGCCTATTCTTGAAGTTCCACATTGTAATATGACCGCATTACACCTAGTCCGCTCCTGCTCACCTAAAACATCAAATACGTCGCCTTACTTCCAAGACATAGGGGTTTACGCGTTCGCTCGCCTCAACGAAAAGCCGGTTCGATTCCGAAAATGGGCACAATAACACAATCCATTTTCTTTGTTTCGCCCACCGCAATATTACATGGATAGAGATGACAAGACTTTATGGATGTTCAACTTCTTTATCATAGTCTTGTCATCTCTATACCACCAACTTCTAGAATGCCACTCAACCAAATTATTACTCGGATCTTGCTACCTGTTTACTCACTGCTATCAACCAAACTGCGAACCCTCTTGAGGTGCTGCTCATCCTGCACTTGCAGTGATGTAGTTTAAAATAAAGCGAACGTCAGTTGTTAAGTGATTAGCGCGACACCCACCGCTGACAGATCAGCAGTAGCCTGTGGGGAGATTTGGTCTCCGTATCTCTGATCGTACTGATTGATGGAGACGTGTTAGAGAGCCAGGGTCTTGTAATACTGGGTCCACGAGGTCAACTCGGTTCATTAGACGCTGTTTTA